GCGGAATGAAGAACTAGGGTGGGTGGAGATGTCCCATTAGCTGTTGGCGCAAACCATGAATATGGAGATGAAGTTGTGTTCAATACGATAAGTTGAGGAGTAACGGCTACACCATTGTCATTTGTCCCTCCATAACAAATCACCAAACCATCTGGCGCTATCAACGAAGAAAAGTACACTCATTAAAAAATTGCAAAGTAGATTTCATCGAAGGACTCATCTTACTTACTTAAAACTGACGAATGTTGATAGCGATTTCCTAGAGTTGATCCACCAGCGGACACCTTATAACCAGTTGCATAATTAATTTGCATATCGATGAATTAATACCGATTCAGCGAGCATCAATAATACTTACAACATAGTTCCACGTCGCACTTTTTGTATCATATGTGGTGATCTATACATATTAAATCAATGTTAACTTTCTTTCCTCCAAAAAAAAGAAAGGAGTTTTAAAAATCTTACTTACATTACTTAAGGCGACCTCTTGTGTTATTGTTCCCATACTTTCCCTTCCCCCAATATACAGTATAAGACCGCTAGGTAAGATTACTACGCCATAGTCAACTCGTGAGGGAGGTGCACTTAAAGTCGACCCCGTTGAATAAGACATAGATATAGTGTCGACAATGACCATATCATTAAACCATATATTTGTGGATGATCCTGTAAAATTACCAGTGGCACCTCCAAAAATATAGGCTTTCCCACTAGTATCTCGAACTGCATGCATCTCTCTCCGTCTCGTCGGCACGTTTCCGGTGAGGCTGGATTTTTTCCAGCTTGGGGAATTAGTGTCAAATTGGTAAGTCATCCCCGAGTAGTCGTCAACATTTGTGATAGGGTCTCTGGTTCCGCCTCCAAAGATGAATACTAGGGTGCTATTTGGACCTCCAGTGAAGGCCGTTGCCCAAGTACTTCCATAAGGAATAGCTGCGGTGCTTGTAAGGTCGGTCCACGGTGGGGATGCTGTGTTAAAGTCTTTACTCACGTCCAGATAAAATACGTAGTTGTATGATAGTGCATCCAATTCAGTTAAGTGAAGTCCACCAAAAAAGTACAGCTTATTTCCAACGAGCGCTGTTGAATGGGCATAAGTTGCTGGTGCGACAAAGGTCGAATAAATCGGGGCCGTTAAGTGCAAGAGTAGAAATAATAATGTAAGCAAAGAATGAACATAAGACCTCATGTTTAACGCACTTTCAGGCAGAGAGAGTGACAAACGCGGAAACCGAAAATTTATAAATTCTGTATTTGTACTGTTTTATTCATTACTCACGGATTTTATTGTTTACTTCTTTTCTGATGTTGCATAAATCGAATTGTTTTGCTAGTGCCATTTTTTTCATCCGAACTCCCCTGAATTCTAAATACAAAAGCCACAAGTGCGTACACATTGGTTGCTTCTACATCTTGTGCAATGCATTTACTGTTTCATATAACGCATGCAACAGTCTAGGATAGAAATGTGTCGGCGTTGGAATTCCAAATTACAGAGAGAGGTCACACAAATTAGGCGGTCACGTGCCATTTCTACAATGTTTTGGGATCAAGTCTCATAAAATCGATAATTTTTTCGAATGTAATAGCATTCATCCCACACACCGTAATAACCACTTCCGG